ATCAAAATGCCAGGGATCAACCTCTTAATACCATACTCAGACTGTCACTGGGTAAAATCACGGGTAATTTTTGTTCTCCTACCTACACATTGCTGCAGTGTCCATGTGAACATTAATAATTAAAAGAAAAAGAACTTTAACGAAGTGTCTTCAAGACCCTCTGCTTCCCCAGCTGAAAGCACTGACACGGGTGACCTCCAGAATCTAGGGCAACATCATGGGGGGGGGTGGTTTACCTACCGATGGAAGTCAGATGTCTTGCAGGGCCAGTCCCGCTCCTCACTAATCACCCCCTCTTCCTTCCAAGGCTAACCTGGCCAAGCAGGAGGGCCGCTTAGCAGTCGCCAATGCTGAGCTGGGGAAGGCGCAGGCACTGCTTGATGAGAAACAAGCCGAGCTGGATAAAGTGCAAGCAAAATTCGATGCGGCAATGAATGAGAAAATGGTGAGATTAAGTACCCAAAGCGAAGGAAACGTATGGAAATGTTACGCAAGTATACAGTATGTTGCATTTAGAAATTAGGTCCATGTGTGTGACCGAAAAGATTTACCTGAATGCCCCTCCCTGCTAGTGATGTCTATTTATTTTGGATCTTTGACACTCCAAGGGGAACTGTGACGTCCTGCCCCAAGGGCACTGACTTTGCGGTTGGGAAACTGGGCTCCAGGTCTCGCTCAGGCGCTTATTAATTGTGAAGTTGAGGGTAATTGTCCTCAATTATCCATCAAATGGGGATCCTGATCCGACCTGTGAGGTCTGATGTGAAGTGGTGGCCTGGTTGTGAGGCAGGGACCAGGGGAAGAACAAGGCCCTGTGTGGAGGGTTTGCTGGCTTCTGGGGTCTACCCATCACTGCCACTTTTACGCTGTCATTGTGAGGACACTGAACCCAGATTTGGAAAAACGTGTGGCGGCAGCAGCACCATAACATACGATTTCCACCATGCCGGCACCGCGGGCCTAGCAACCCCAACTAGGTAACACTGAGACCGAGTAAGTAATTAGGAGGTGATGGGTTTTGGTTATCCGTTACCTTTTCTTTTAATATGATTTGTTTAATTATAAGTTTACATAATTTAATTTTTAATAACGGCTGTTTAACACCAGCACACATTCCCTACAACTTTCACAATTGGCTCTAGTGAGCAGATGCAAGCTGCCTGCAGCACACGACTGTTGTGTAGAAATTTTCTGGAGGAAAATCTTGGTTAACTGCAAAGAACTCAGAATTATTATTAAATCCAAGTCTTTTAAAAGCACTATATTTTATTGTTTTGGTTCTATTTTGAAAATATTTAATAGAAATACTATTTTATTTAAAAAAAATTTCTTTATTGATACATATGTGTTCTTATCCATTCATTGCCCCCCCATAGAAATACTATTTAATTGATGTGATTTGTATTCTAGCTTACAAAATTGCTTTTCTTGAAATTTTGTAATGTAAAATAACTATATACTGAATAAATTACCAGAATTTAACAGGTAAGGTTTCCCTTACACTGTATTTTTAGATTATATTAATTTTACACATTAAGAAATTCCTCCAGGTATTTTACATGCGAATATAATGGGTATTTAATTCAGGGATTTAAGAAGTTCTTGAGACCTTCTTCCTGTATGAACACAGGACTTGCTCAACGATGCCGACATGTGCCGGAAAAAGATGCAGGCGGCCTCCACCCTCATCGACGGGCTGAGTGGAGAGAAGATCCGATGGACTCAGCAAAGCAAAGAGTTCAAAGCTCAGATTAACAGGTATGCATCTCGGTCTTTGTTATACTCGCTCTCCATCTCGGGGACCACCCCAAACACCACCTCTTTGTGACGCTAGAGAATGTAAAACCCATCTCCCGTAAGAGCTTTCTCCGGCGGCTTTTCCACATACCCAACGCCGAATCCCTCCGTCTAAGAAACTGCTTGCAGCTTAAGTTCCGCGCTCTCGCTCTCGGTGAAACAGAGAGGGAAGCAACTTTTGTGAGGCACCTGTCATCTCCACGCAGGCTCAGCCGTGTGGCCCTTCCAACTCCTTCCACTGTGGAGGGTGACTGTGTTTTTTCCTCCACAGGCTCGTGGGTGACATTCTGCTGTGCACCGGATTCCTCTCCTACCTCGGTCCTTTCAATCAGATATTTAGGAACTATCTGCTTAAAGAGCTGTGGGAGCTGGAGCTGAGGGCGCGGAAGATTCCTTTCAGTGAAAACCTGAATCTCATTTCAATGCTGGTGGATCCTCCCACAGTGAGTGTTTCTGTCCTCATCCCATTATTTGAATTTCAGTCTCATTTTATTTCTTACTAAGAAATCAAGGTACACCTACTTGGTTTTGTTTTTCTTTCTCTTTTCATTTAATTGAAAAGATTGTTTGAAAATGCTTACGAGCTCCAAAAACGGATTTTCTCTGTTGTATAAAAGTTACTCTGCATTTTAAGAAATCCTCCTTTCCAATGAGTCCCAGTTGCACTGCTGTGAACTAAAAGGCCATTTGTGAGTTACAGACAGGCGGATGGTGAGCTCTCCTGACAGCCCTTCAGTGTTTACACCATCCTGCTTAACCACGCGCTCCCGCAAACATCCCAGGCCAATGCAGACGTTAGCTAGGCCCCAAGCACTGGTATTAACCTTGTCTTGGTTATTAGCAGCACGCTCCGTGTCACCGAGGAACAGCGTGACCTACCTCCCCAGCCTCCCTCGTGGGGAATTGGGCGCCTCTGCCGGTTGCCAGTGCCCCCTGCAGGGCTCCGGTGGCAGTACACGCTTGCCAGGCCATTTGTCTTCATGAGCTGCTTTTCTGATTCGTGAATATGCTCCCCAGTTGCCCTAGAGACGCCATGCTACTAATTGCATGTTCTCTCTACTTAAAAATTAGTCTTTCCAGTTCAAACAATGTTGACATGGTCCTGACAGGGACTCGATCAGGTACTGAATATAGTGGGTCACTGGTGAGGCTCAGTGGGCCAGGCTATTCTTTATTAGTTATGGCCTTTGAAGGCGGAGGCTGGTTGGTTCCTTGGATCCCGGGTGATTTTATGGACACGTGGAGGCAGGCTGGCAATTCCCTCTGATTTTGGAAAAGAAATATATTTTTTTTAAATGTCATTCATGAGCTCCTGCCAATATAATATCTTGTCTCTCCTGACTTCTCTCCCCCTCCAGCTATGCAACCCCGGACCCTACGAAAGCAGAACCAAGAGCAGGAAGGGGAAGTTTCAAGGGCTTATCTCCTCTGACATCTTTCTTTTTCTTCTTCTTCTTCTTCTTTTTTTTAATCCTCACCCGAGGATATTTTTCCATTGATTTTTTAGGGGGCATGGAAGAGAGAGGGAAAGACAGAGAGAAATATCAATGTGAGAGAAACACATGGATTGGTTGCTTCTTGCACGCACCCCGACCAGGGCCCAGGCTGGGGAGGAGCCTACAACTGAGGTACATGCCCTTGACTGGAATCGAACTTGGGACCCTTTGGTCCATAGGCCGACTGAGCCAAACCAGCTATGGCTTCTCTGACATCTTATCACCTGTAACCATTATCTTTGCCTCCTTTAGCCAGTCTGGACCCCACCCACAAAGCCAGCCTCACCATATTTTAAGCCCCTGTGTTCTCTGAATGCTCAGCAACCAAGCTTCATGTAATCAATTTAACAATATTAACTCAAGCATGAAAATATAACATACAGAACTAAACCTAGTCTTGCATCATGAGAGAAAGGATTTATTTATTACTGTTTTTTTTAAAAATTTAATATTACTTGGTTCACATTTACAAATTTGGGGTTTTTTTCTGGGTACCTGTTGCACTTTCTCAATGAAAAAATAAATGTCCAAATGTTAAATTCTTTTATATTGTGGTGCTTTTAACTACTAATGAAAGCTTTCTCGTTCTCCTTTGAATGGCCATGTCCACTTCCTGTCATTCAGATTGGCGAGTGGGGACTGCAGGGCCTACCAGGAGATGACCTCTCGATTCAGAATGGCATTATTGTGACGAAGGCCACCAGATACCCACTCCTCATAGATCCACAAACTCAAGGCAAAACTTGGATTAAATCCAAGGAAAAAGAAAATGACCTGCAGGTGTGTACCATTTGGTGCAGGGAAAAGTAATCTTGAAATCATGAAATATCCCCCAAATTTCCATTGAATCCGCCAGTCATAAAGTTGTCATCTCTGTAATTGTTTGCTAATTTACACCCTTGAGTTTTTGTAACAGGGATTGGGGCAAAGGCTTTGCCATTTTCTCTCTTTTGTGCTCTCCCTTGATTGCAGTCTCCCCTCTCTGTCCATTGCCCTGGCTCTATTGTGGATGTGGGATATGGCTTCTATCCTGGGCCTTGCGTCTGGGCTTAAAGGAAAGCAGCCAAAGAACTTGTGATTTGGGCCACCTGCATCACTCGCTCAGGCACTTGGTACTACATAGCATACGAGGGTCCAGTGTTGGGGTTGGTGTCTAATAAGTTGTTCATTTTCATTCCTGAAAGTGAAGGGCAGGATTCCAGCCCTCATGACTCCCCGGGGGAATCTCATCACCATTGATATTTCAATTCAGCTTCCCAGATGGACTGTTCATTGTTTCCTAGACACTGTTCTAAGCCTCCTGGATCCATATTTTTGCTTGTGCTATTTCTCCTAATGAGGATGTCTTTCTCCACCCCACTGCCCACTTCCCTTACATCGCAGGTAAAAATCTTAAATATCTCAAAGTCCACATCTAACACCATCTTTGTCAAGAATTCTCTGGGTCTGAGGAGCGCCCCTTCTCCTCCTCTTTCCATCACAGAGAGCCCGTTACACACCCAGGACTTCCACAGGCCACGACTCACCGAGCTTTGAAAATTGCTACTTTTATTTTTATAAACAAGGCTTCCCAAATAGCCCTCAAAATTTGTAGTCAACTCTTGGTTTCCACTGAGGAGGAGGCACATTCTTTGTGCCATTTGTAGAGTGATGAGCTCTTTGTTTTTAGGTGACATCTCTGAACCATAAGTATTTCCGCACACACTTGGAGGACAGCCTTTCCTTGGGCCGACCGCTGCTCATTGAGGACATTCGTGAAGAGCTGGACCCGGCCCTGGACAATGTGTTAGAAAAGAATTTCATTAAATCAGGCACCAATTTCAAGGTGAGCTTTGTGAAAAACAAGAAAGAAAAGAATAATGGTGACATCTACTTATCTTTTTGAGCATAGCAGTAAAGGCAATTTCTTTCAAGTATTTGGTATCCTGGAAAAAATAATTTCCAAACTCATGTTCAGTGTTTCCTTTAAAAACACATAGTAATAGCCTGGCTGGCGTGGTTCAGTGGTTGAGTATCGATCTATGAACCAGGAGGTCATGGTTGGATTCCTGGTCGGGACATGTGCCCGGCTTGTGGGCTCGATTCTCGGTGTGGAGCGTGTAGGAGGCAGCTGATCAATGATTCTCTCTCATCATTGATGTTTCTCTCTCCTCCCTTCCTCTCTGAAATCAATAAAAATATTAATATATATTAAAAATATATACATACTGTAGTACAATATTAGCAATATTAAAATATATAGATACACATTTATATTTTAATAAAAAATATAGGGGGAGGGCAATTTCTTGCTAAGAGTAGTCATTTCACTGAAACTAAATAATATATTAAGGAAAGACATTGTGTAGTCATAATAATCAGGTATTATTATATGTATTTTAGCAACTCCAAGAAAATTGGTTTTGTAAGCCATATATACATCTATACAATAAAACCTGTATTTCATTGGAGAAAATGGCCTTTTAATAAAGTCTATGAACATTGATTTGTTCATTTCTCTCTTAACGTTCAGTCTAAATTCATGGATTTTACTGGAAGCTATGGAATAGTGTTCCTGATTTTTTATTATAATTGTTTTCAGTCTGTTTCTTTTTTCATTGGTCATTCTCTATCTTTAGGCTTCTTCGGATTTTTATTTTTTGATGAATGACAGCCTTTCTGGTTGAATTTTTTTTTATTTGGACAACTTAATTTTATGAATATCAGTGAATAAAATTTGAAATTTGAAAATTTTCCTCGCTAAACAAAGAGATTTATGTAGAAAAAACTCCTTCATAATGTGAATTCTTTTATATGTCATGTTTAATATGCCAAAGGAAGTTGCAGACTTGCTATTCCTGAAAGTCCTTTAAAAGACCCCCAATTCTTAACCGCAGCGTCAAGACCTGCTGCCTGAGAATGTGCTAGCCCCCCTAGCATGTGGATTAAGATTAAAATCTAATTCATTTAGAAATGTTATAAATTCCACCTGACTTTTTTTTGTTGTTGTTAATCCTCACCTGAGAATATTTTTCCATTGATTTTTTTTTTTAAGAGAGAGTGGAAGGGAAGGGGAGAGACACAGAGAGAAACATCGATGTGAGAGAGAAACACTGATTGGTTGCCTCCTGCATGACCAGGACCGGGGATCAAGCCTGCAAGGACCACGCCTACAACCAAGGTACATGCCCTTGACTGGAATTGAACCCAGGACCCTTCAGTCCTGGGGCTGACACTCTATCCACTGAGCCAAACCAGCCACGGCTCCACCTAATTTTTAGACAGCAAAACCTGTTGTTTTTCAATATACTGCAGATTGTAGTGTTTAAGATAAATGCCATCTTTCTGGAAAATTATATTGGCACTTTTCTTCTTTGGAAATGTTATTAACCCTTTCTGTTGTTAAGTGGGAAAAATACGTTGGCATGTTTTTTCTTTGAAAATTTTGTTAACCCTTTCTGTTGTTAAATGTGCTTCAGATATGACTGTGAAATGGAAGAAGAAATTATATATTCTATAAACACGACAAATTTCCATAGCAGGAAGTAATTTTCTCAAGTGGAAAAAACAGCCAAGTCTTTGACTGAGTTTTTCTTTATTCAACATTTGTCTTGGATAAAATTTTCATTGAATTTGCTTGGTGTTATGGCTAAAAACATCTCCAAGCAGGACCACAAATGTAACTTATTCTAAAGGGATAGGCTTTATTCTTTAAGATCAACGATTAAAATTTCACAACTTTCTTTTGCAGTTCCTCCAAGTCCACAGCACTAGCCTCTGATAAAGTATTTCTTAAATTGAGCCCATCATGCTAGTCCTGTCCTCTGAGCCTTTTTAAACTTTATATTTGCATTGATGTAGGTGAAAGTCGGTGATAAGGAATGTGATATCATGGATTCATTTAAACTTTATATTACTACAAAGTTACCGAACCCTGCCTTTACCCCCGAGATCAATGCTAAAACATCAGTCATTGACTTCACTGTTACGATGAAAGGACTTGAGAATCAGTTACTAAGGAGAGTAATTCTAACAGAGAAACAGGTAATAATTTCTCAAGGTAAAGAACTTTGACTTAAACTATAATAAATGTTTAAACTTTATTGGGAAATTGTTAAGTTTATGGACAAAAAAAAATTTAATAAATCCTGTTTACCTTTGTTAACATAAATATTTGTTTTGTAGTCTCAAATCCTGTCAGGAAATCATGTAACTAACTTACCTCTCCTCCAACTTCAGACACACACACACACACACACACACACACACACACACACATTCACACACACACTCACACATTCACACTCCTATTTCCACTTCCTACATCTGACTTTAAACCTTCGGGTATGTTGACTTTCATCTCTATAGTCCTGTGGATGGATGATGGTCTTGGATATAACTGAAAAGTTTGATAAAATAATGATTCCGGAGAAAAAGAAATTGCTCTGAATGAGTATTATTACCACTGTAGTAGTTTCAACCACTACAATCTAATAATCTAATAATATAGAGAGCCATACTTTTATTTTAATCAAGTGAAATTTGCACTAAAGCAGGGAACATATTTAAGTATAATTGAGGGTTCTAATCAAACAAAGAACAACTTAAGATGGGGTGATTCTAAGAGCAATTAAAATAAGATTAAACTAATTGTTAGGATAAATGTCAGAAAATGTTAAATGCTATGCACAAAATATAATTTTCTATATCTGCAGATATAAAATATATTTGCACAAATATAATTAATTTTGGTATTAAGGGTTCAGCGGAAAGGCAAGGTTAGAAATAGAAAGACCAGAGAGGCATAAAATGGGAGGGTGAGAAGATGGCAGAAGAAGACAGGACAAGGAAAGGAAAAAAGGCAAGAGATCCGAACAGATGGACACAAACAGAGAGGAAAGACATTCAAAAATGGAAGGAGGAATGACACTGACCACACACACAAAAAATAGAGAGATAGTAAAATGAGAAGTGAAATTAACAACAAACAACCCAGGGCTTATGCAATCCAGAAAGAGAATCCATTTCACTTCCACAGCCAGGCAGAGAGAGCACGGGCCCCTCCATCACTTCTTAAGGCCTCGTGGTGTCAACTGGTAAAAACTAGTCCTTCCTTTGTGGTCTGCTTGGTACTGTCAGTCTGTTCCAGGATGATTCCTCCATGGTCCAGATCCCCCATGTAGGCTACACTAGCTTCTGTAAGGCGGGCCCTCCGTGTCCCAGAGCGCCTACACTCATTCTTCTAGGCCTGGGCTCCCTCTTCAAATGATACTAAGATGTTCGCACCAGGCTTGCTGGAGAAACACAATGCACACTTAGTCTGCAGGAGACCTCCTGACCATTATGTTCACCCTCCCAACAACCTGCTCTGAAACCCATTTTACAGGTGAACAAGTGGAGACCAGAGAGAATAGGGTCTTAACCTGTGAGAGCACACAGGCTTTCTGCCCTGCCAGACCTCCTCGGTAAACGTTACAGGTCATGCTGTAAAGCTCACAAGCATCCACTGTACCGTGATGCTTGTGTTTCTGTATCTTAACTGACAGGGAAGCTAACGGTATTCATTTTGTCCACGTGTTCCTATACTGCCACCCAGGGGTGACTATTCTAATGAAAACAATACATTAGCTATTCCCCTGCAAACACAGCCAGGCTCTTCAGCTCTTCGTTGCCACTTCATCACATACTGCAAACCTGATAGTGAATGGTATTATACACTGGATACGCTGGTCTTGGAGTTGAATAACAAGGCTATTAGGCCTTTCTCTGACAGTGGCTAGCTATGCATATTATATTGAAATGCTATTTGGAGTTAATATTTCTGGGTGCTCAGTTTCCCCAGATGTAAAATAAAGTTGATGAATAAATTCAGCACATTTCAACTTAACAAATACTTACTGGGTTGAGTCCATTCTCTGCAAAGCCTTGAGGTAAGTGCTGCCAAGAATACAAGAACGCGTAGGACAAGTTCCTGCCCGTTAGATGTACGGCTCTAATTGAGACGCACGTGGTGGGAGGTATGCCGATGGGTGCTGTGCTGTGGCTCTTGATTGACGGATTGGTTTAGGAAGACCTTCTGAAAATGGAGGAATTTCCAAAGCAGTTTTTCAAGAAACTTCCTCAACTAAGTAGTTTAAAAACACAGTTCGGAGTGCAAGTTGTGATTCTGCATAAAATCAGAAGAGAGTGCTATCAAGAATGTTACTGAGACTATTTAAGTTTACTCTATATTTAGCAAGAGTATTATATCCACGTTAAATTTCTAAGTTTGAAAATTGCACTATAGTTATGTAAGAGAATGTCTTGGATCTTAGGAGATTTGCTGAAGATGTTAGGTAGAAAGGATCATGACATTGGCAAATGGTTCAGCAATGATGATAATAAATATTATAGAGAGAGAAAGAGTGATAAAGCAAAATGCTATTTGGTGAACCTAAGTAACGGGTTTGTGAAAGCTCATTGTACCAGTCTTGAAACTTTTCTGAAAGCTGGGAAATTTTCAAAATGTAATTTTAAAAAACACATCATTTATGTATGAAAAATATACCTCCCAAACATCCAATTTAGCCCCTGTAGTAGAAGGAGCTGCAAAATAATGGAAAATGGATTTGTATTGGCAACTGGCTATGCCAAACCAGGTACCTGGAGTTCCTATAGGCAGGCCCCGAGCAATCGAAGAGCTCACTTTTGGCTTGGGTTGCCTTGTGGTTTCTTGGTATTAATTAATGCTTCTTTGTTTCTACCACTTCTGACTGCAAATAAAGTTAACATTTCTCCCAGAGCCAATGTGGACACAGGGCCAAGAGAATTGGACGCTCTAATTTAAATAAACGGAGAGCTGGAAAGACAGCTGGGGATAATTGGGCAAAATTATTTTAGCAAGGTAATCACATGCACGCCCGTGTAAGTGCTATGGAAACTAAATGCTACTGGGCATAATTTAAGAAAACCTGTCTAGAGAAACAAAAATATGGAAAAATAGGTTTGACTAGTGGTAGCAATTTCCTGTCATTCAAAAGGCATTTGGGGTTACACTTTTAAAAGTTTGTAATAAACACTAGTAAATCGGATTTACGGTAATAACTGGTAACATTCCGAGGTTGTTTTGTGTCTCTTAATAACAGGAGCTAGAGTCTGAGAGGGTTAAACTTTTGGAGGACGTGACTTTCAATAAGCGGAAGATGAAAGAACTTGAAGATAATCTCCTCTACAAATTAAGTGCTACAAAAGGTATTGTGTTATCACGACATAATCAAATAATGGATTCTGAAGAAGGATTTCTTGTATCCTCTTCTCAACGGCCCCAGGATGACAGATGTTAGGAAATAGTTATCAATGCAAAGACCAGCGAGGCAATTCCCATGGAGACATTAAAGAGGAACGGCAGGGAATCTGATTACTGAATTAGCAAACAAGGTCTGCGCATTTGAGAATAACCGTTTTCTTGATATAATTGCTCTCTCCTGAGAAAGGAAGGGCTCCCAGTAGAGCTAGGTAACTCATAATAGGCTAATTTGCTTGCCCAACGGAAACGAATGGGCTCCATCTATTTTTTTAGATTCACGCTTTCAACTGGCGTTGAAATGTAATCACCACATGGGCTCTGAGGTGTGTAATCTGTGGTGGAGGCACTTCAGCACCCAAGGCCCAGTTGACCCCCCTTTTTTTTTTATTGTTGTTGTTAATCCTTACCTGAGGATATTTTTCCATTTATTTTTTTAGAGAGTGAAAGGGAGGGAAAAAGACAGAGAGAGAAACATCGATGTGAGAGATCAATGCCCCAACCAGGGCAGGGCCGGGGATTGAACCTGCAACCCAGGCCCATAGGCTGACGCTCTATCCACTGAGCCAAACCAGCGAGGACCCAGCTTACGCTTGGTTTGACTTGACCTCCCACTTAGAAGTCAGGTTCTGCCTGGGCAGTCAGATCCTCGAATCACCCCCTGATTTGGGGATGTGTTCTCTCTGAATATGTAAAAATATTTTATCCCAAGGAAATAAAATCAACAAACATTATAGTAGGCAGCTTAATGCCATGTAAATTCTACCATTAATTAGAAGTTTAATGATGAATACTTCCCAATAGCACTTTAATCCTTGGGTTTTAAAAAAAAATCTTAACCTCCCAGAAGAACACTATGCGTTCTCTCACAGCAGTCTCTAGCATCACCTTCCAGGCGACCTGAACAGAAGTCCCATTTTCTGCCTTAATTGCACTGTCTGTCTCTTGGTGCAGTGCGTTCTCCCACCATTTGGTTCCTCTGGGGATTCTAAATAATAGAAAGATGGCTGAGGGCTCCTCTCCTGACCGGGCCAAGAGTGTGCTGGCTCCAGGTCTCTTTCCTGTGAAGTTAACCACAAGTTGGACTCCATCTGTGGACCTAGTGCCCATCGGAGCAGTTCCACGCCCTCCAGCAGCTCAGGCCCTGCCCTGAACGCTGGGCTAGGCCAGAGCACTGCTGTTTGCAGACATCGTGGCGATTCGCTCAGCATGTCCAAAGTGTCTTCCATGTCTTAAAATCAAATTCACTGTCACAAACATGTTCTATCTATTAGAAACAATAATGAAGGGTAAAAATAAAATTAGGGTCTTTCGCCTGGGGAGATACTCCTGCCAGTGGAAGGGCTGTTCTCTAAGGCAGCAGTGGAGAGTGCACCATTAGCCTGCAAGCTGGTGTGCAGCGTTCGGGTCAGCACTGCTGGGAGCCCAGCTGGGCGGACGGGTGAGCTCATGACACTGCAGGGCGCCATCAGGGTGACGATGGAGGTGACAGCGGAGGCCCCTGGGGGTGGGCTGCCTTGGGGATGCAGACTTCTGTATTGGCAACTGGCTATGCCAAACCAGGTACCTGGAGTTCCTATAGGCAGGCTCCAAGAGAAGAGCTCACTTTTGGCTTGGGTTGCCTTGTGGTTTCTTGGTATTAATTAATGCTTCTTTGTTTCTACCACTTCTGACTGCAAATAAAGTTAACATTTCTCCCAGAGCCAATGTGGACACAGGGCCAAGAGAATTGGACGCTCTAATTTAAATAAACGGAGAGCTGGAAAGACAGCTGGGGATAATTGGGCAAAATTATTTTAGCAAGGTAATCACATGCACGCCCGTGTAAGTGCTATGGAAACTAAATGCTACTGGGCATAATTTAAGAAAACCTGTCTAGAGAAACAAAAATATGGAAAAATAGGTTTGACTAGTGGTAGCAATTTCCTGTCATTCAAAAGGCATTTGGGGTTACACTTTTAAAAGTTTGTAATAAACACTAGTAAATCGGATTTACGGTAATAACTGGTAACATTCCGAGGTTGTTTTGTGTCTCTTAATAACAGGAGCTAGAGTCTGAGAGGGTTAAACTTTTGGAGGACGTGACTTTCAATAAGCGGAAGATGAAAGAACTTGAAGATAATCTCCTCTACAAATTAAGTGCTACAAAAGGTATTGTGTTATCACGACATAATCAAATAATGGATTCTGAAGAAGGATTTCTTGTATCCTCTTCTCAACGGCCCCAGGATGACAGATGTTAGGAAATAGTTATCAATGCAAAGACCAGCGAGGCAATTCCCATGGAGACATTAAAGAGGAACGGCAGGGAATCTGATTACTGAATTAGCAAACAAGGTCTGCGCATTTGAGAATAACCGTTTTCTTGATATAATTGCTCTCTCCTGAGAAAGGAAGGGCTCCCAGTAGAGCTAGGTAACTCATAATAGGCTAATTTGCTTGCCCAACGGAAACGAATGGGCTCCATCTATTTTTTTAGATTCACGCTTTCAACTGGCGTTGAAATGTAATCACCACATGGGCTCTGAGGTGTGTAATCTGCGGTGGAGGCACTTCAGCACCCAAGGCCCTGTTGACCCTTTTTTTTTATTATTGTTGTTAATCCTTACCTGAGGATATTTTCCCATTTATTTTTTTAGAGAGTGAAAGGGAGGGAAAAAGACAGAGAGAGAAACATCGATGTGAGAGATCAATGCCCCAACCAGGGCAGGGCCGGGGATTGAACCTGCAACCCAGGCCCATAGGCTGACGCTCTATCCACTGAGCCAAACCAGCGAGGACCCAGCTTACGCTTGGTTTGACTTGACCTCCCACTTAGAAGTCAGGTTCTGCCTGGGCAGTCAGATCCTCACACCACCCCCTGATTTGGGGATGTGTTCTCTCTGAATATGTAAAAATATTTTATCCCAAGGAAATAAAATCAACAAACATTATAGTAGGCAGCTTAATGCCATGTAAATTCTACCATTAATTAGAAGTTTAATGATGAATACTTCCCAATAGCACTTTAATCCTTGGGTTTTAAAAAAAAATCTTAACCTCCCAGAAGAACACTATGCGTTCTCTCACAGCAGTCTCTAGCATCACCTTCCAGGCGACCTGAACAGAAGTCCCATTTTCTGCCTTAATTGCACTGTCTGTCTCTTGGTGCAGTGCGTTCTCCCACCATTTGGTTCCTCTGGGGATTCTAAATATTAGAAAGATGGCTGAGGGCTCCTCTCCTGACCGGGCCAAGAGTGTGCTGGCTCCAGGTCTCTTTCCTGTGAAGTTAACCACAAGTTGGACTCCATCTGTGGACCTAGTGCCCATCGGAGCAGTTCCACGCCCTCCAGCAGCTCAGGCCCTGCCCTGAACGCTGGGCTAGGCCAGAGCACTGCTGTTTGCAGACATCGTGGCGATTCGCTCAGCATGTCCAAAGTGTCTTCCATGTCTTAAAATCAAATTCACTGTCACAAACATGTTCTATCTATTAGAAACAATAATGAAGGGTAAAAATAAAATTAGGGTCTTTCTCCTGGGGAGACACTCCTGCCAGTGGAAGGGCTGTTCTCTAAGGCAGCAGTGGAGAGTGCACCATTAGCCTGCAAGCTGGTGTGCAGCGTTCGGGTCAGCACTGCTGGGAGCCCAGCTGGGCGGACGGGTGAGCTCATGACACTGCAGGGCGCCATCAGGGTGACGATGGAGGTGACAGCGGAGGCCCCTGGGGGTGGGCTGCCTTGGGGATGCAGACTTCTAGGCAGCGAGAGGGACAACCCTTGCAGGAATGTTTGGAGGAATTCAGGCATCGGGTGGTAGCTAGACTAGAAGCCTTCTGAGCTCTGAAGAAATGGGGTTGAAAATTAATGGGGAGGTTTCTGAACGGAGGCACCTGGCTTTCCAGCTTCCCCGTCTGTGTTCTACGGTCCCCACCCTCTTCCTGTTTGGTTTTTAGGCTCCTTGGTAGATGATGAGTCTCTCATCGGTGTCCTCCGAACCACCAAGCTGACAGCAGCTGAAGTGAGTGAAAAGCTACACGTGGCCGCGGAAACGGAGGTCAAGATCAACCTGGCTCAGGAGGAGTTCCGGCCGGCGGCCACCCGCGGGAGCATCCTCTACTTCCTCATCACAGAGATGAGCATGGTCAACATCATGTACCAGACCTCCCTGGCCCAGTTCTTGAAGTTGTTTGACCAGTCCATGGCCAGGTGGGCCTCGCGACCTTCCCCCCCCAGAGCAGCAACTTAAACACTTTTGTTTATATTCCTACTTCTTTGATTTTTAAAATGTATTGCAGATCTGAGAAGTCTCCACTCCCTCAAAAGAGAATTACAAATATTATCGAGTACCTGACATACGAAGTTTTTACATACTCTGTCAGAGGCCTGTACGAAAACCACAAATTCCTCTTTGTGCTCCTCATGACCTTGAAGATCGACCTCCAGAGAGGAACAGTGAAGCACCGAGAATTCCATGCTCTCATCAAAGGTGAAGGGTTTGGAATATGGATGTGACGTAAAGGATATCGCTTCTGATGCGCTCTCGGGTGGGCTGTAAACTAATTTCTACAACATAGTAGAGCAGTTATGTTGCCAGGAAAGTGAAGCTCTTTATCTATGCCCCTTTTTTTTCTGACTTCCATTCATTGTGCTCTGGTTACTCAAGGTAGCGTACTCCAGGGCTGTGTTAACGCTATGATTCTCAGTTATGTAATTACGTGAAGGTTGGTCACTGTTGCCCGTGGTGAGGAGGCCCGGATGCCGAGGGGTGGAAAAGTGCAGCTGGTGGTGAGGGTTCCAGTGCAGGAGAGCGGTTCCTCGGGCAGGAATGAATGTGAGGGCTCATAGTTGAAGTTAATCCCATTCGTTGCTTATCTCCGTGTTAAAGTATAACTAAGACAAAAGTATTTTCATTCAGTTCAGCAAAACAAGTGCTATGCACACCCAGCATGCTAGTGTCTGGGATACAAAGATGAAGCAGACATTGTTTTAAGAGAAATAGCAGCCTCATACAGGGGATAAAATAACTGCAAAACAAGGCCGAACCGCCTGAGTGTGATGAGAGCGATAAGAACAACACGTTCGGTCTAAGAGGAGGGAGAGGTTACATGCCCTTGGTGAGATAAGAAAAGCTCCTTGGAAAACACACCTTTGCAGGGTAAGTCAGGAATTTGTCAGGTTATTTGACGCATGGGGAAATGTTTCAATCTTTTCTTTATGGTGTTGCCCTCTGTATATAGTTTAATAAATCACTTTCTTGCTGCTCCTCCCCACCCTCCAAAAAAGAAAGTGGCGTTTGGCCCCTGACGGTAGAGACGGAAGCGTGAGGAGGAAACTCGGGGAGTGTGTGAACTGGGAGCCTCAGTTCCTAGAGGAAGGGTTTTCTTGATCTGGTGAGAAGCCAGGCATCGTGGAGGTGGTGCTGTGGGCCGTTCGGAACCTTTCCTTGTCCTCTGGGAAGGTCACTCGGGCAGACATGCATGGGCTAGAGAGCAGAGGATGGAGGGGTCTATTACAATCTCCGTGCCGCAGCCTGCGGTAAAGGCGATGGGAGTAGGAAGGAGGAAACAGGTGAGGGTCATAGCAGGGACAGGCACTGGACCAGAGCCACGAGGCGGGTCAGAGCCGAGGTTCTGGTCTGTGCGGAGATTTCCCGTCCGCCTGGTTGAGAGAGAAGCTAGTTCAGGCGTGTCAGAGTCGGGGAACAATGAGTGTGAGTTTGGGACCTACTTTTCAGTTGGCATAAGAACAACCCCCAAATTCCAATGGCTCAACACAGCAAAGGTTCACTTCCCCTCCACTCTCGCTCCAACATGTGTGTATGGTCACCCAGGAATCCCAGCTGTCTCCATAAGTACTAGACGGATGTGGCAATCGTGTCCTGGCCCTTAGAAGTTATCCCATAAGTGACACATGTCACTTAACGCTCATATTTCATTAGCCGAAGCAAGACATGTGGCCACACCTGACTTCCGTGTATGGTCACCCAGGAATCCCAGCTGCCTCCATAAGTACTAGGCGGAGGGACGGATGTGGCAAGTCGTGTCCTGGCCCTTAGAAGTTATCCCATAAGGGACACATGTCACTTAACGCTCATATTCCATTAGCCGAAGCAAGACATGTGGCCACACCTGACTTCACGGAGAGCAGGGCCTGCAGCGCTCCCACAGGCTTGGGAGCAGGGGACTGGGCATTCCCATAGGCCTGGTGACTGCGCAGACACGTGGGATGTGAGGCCTCCAGCGGGCAGACGGCAGGCTGGACAGACGAGAAGGCAGACAGCGGCCACCTTGGGCGTAGAAGTAACAACCAAGGCTGTGGGTCAGCGGAGACCACCCGGGAGGAAAATGCGGAGTATTTCCAAGTTCACGCTGCAAGGGGCCGGGACGTGATGCGCTTTATCCTCATCGTCCAGCTGACGAGAGGCAGGCAGGAGCCAGGCCTCGCTACTCCACCGTGTTCTTTAGTTCATTTCTTCCTCAGGCCCAGGTTAGGTTCCCGGATAAGAAACGTTGTAAACAGTTCTGCGTACTCTCTGAAATGTCTTCTTTGACTTTTTCTTTCTTGTAGCTCAAAGGAAATGAGAATATGTCCTGGGGTTCATATTTTTCTCAGGCCTGGGACGCCTCGAGGAGCTGGTGTCTGAATTGTATGTGGGCGTTGGGAGGCCGCATGGTGCGTACGACGTGTGCAGGGCTGGAACCAGGGAATGAGCAGACTCTGCCCCGGCCTGGCAGTGTGATCTCAGAGAGCGACCCCGGTCCCCCGCACACAGGGGGCTGTGGGCCCCGGGGAAGGATAAGGGCCACCTGGAGAGACAGAGTGGGCTCTGGAGAGGAGGGTCCGTATGTCGGGTGGTCTCTGTAACATTTAAATAAAACGCGCCTGAATTTACCAGGTACTGGACTGACTCGTCCAGTCACCTCGAGGCTCTCACTTGCCTGGGGCCGCAGCCTCGGGGTCTGGGGCAGTGGGGATGGGGCATTGAAACGAGTGGAAACCGGGGCAGCAGTGGGAGCAACGGCCTCCCGCTGAGGACAGCCTCCCTCTGCGGGTGTAAGCGGGATGGGGAGTACACTTTTGGATTTTTCCTTGTTGCTGAGCTGGCTTCGCTTCCTGAGCCCCATCTGCTAGTGTGGCCCCTGGGAAGGAGACAGCTCTGACATAGAAGGAAGTGGAAACCCTGGCCCCTGGGTCCACGATGGGTCGTGGAAGGACAGAGGAGTCAGAGGAAGAAGGAGGTGGGGAGAGGAGAGCACTTGGGAAACATCCAGACAGAAGATGCCCTGCGCTCTGCCCAGAGCCGCTCGGGCATGGGAGCTGCCAGGCAGCATTGTGAGGGAGTGGCCGGACGGATAAGCGTGAGGTTTGGCAGCAGGCGCGTGGACATGGAATGTGGAGGGGCTGGTGCACACCAGAGGCCTGGGACCTCTGACCGGAGACAGGCCCAGTCCCTGTGGGTGACAGCCCCCTGCGCCTGCAGGTCACACAGGACGTGCTCAGAGGGGACAGGGCAGGATCCCGGCCTGGGACTGAGACTGGTAGAGACGAGAGGGTGTGTGCAGATCTGAGGCCCCTCCCTGTCATGACACAACCACCCCTCCCCCCCTCACCTCTCCCCACCCAGCAAACCCAGCCAAACCCTGCTCTTACCTGAGACAGGCGGGATTCTGGGAGACTAAGTATTATGTAAGTCGGAGGCTGAGAAACACAGCAACACAGCGGGGAAGGAATCTGCGAGGAGAATTAGATTTGACACAGAAAAAAAAAAAGGCTGCTG